CTCGTCTGGTCTGGACGAGGGGAACGGCGCTGGAAGGTTTTCTCAGTCCTGAGCATCCCCAGTTATCAATAAACCCCTTCCCTGCTCCTTCCCTCTACCCAGGGCTCTGCTGCTCCCCAGGCTTTTCAGAGCAGGGGGGACGGGGACAAAGGGACAAAGGAGGAGTGACAACCTGACGGTTACCCATCTCTGTTGTTCATCTTTTATTTTTTTTTTAATTTTTTTTTCCCCTCCTGCCTTGCCCCCAGAGGAGCAGCAAGGCTGGAACCTGGGGCAGCCCCACGTCCCTTCTCGCTGCTCAAACCGAGGGAGTGAGAAAAGGGGAGCGGCTCCTCCTCCCTGGGGGTCATTTGTCACCCTGCAAGCGACAATTCGCAGGCACTTGTGTGGTGACAGACGCACGGTGACTACAGATGGATTCCAAGCCCAGCATGGGGCCGGGCTCTGCGGGAACCTCTGCCCAAAGGGGTCCCGTCCCCGTGGGCACAATCCGGGCGCTGTACCCCAGGGGGGTGCTGGGAGGGGGGTCAGGGGGACAAACGCACCAGCTGACGCTGAAGGTGAGGCAGCCGATGTTGGAGATGACGTCGTTGAGGCGATGATAGACGCCCCCCCGGTGCTTGAAGTAGACGTTGAGCTTGGTGAACTCCAGCTGCACGTCGTTGACGTCATGCAGGAAGAGCACCAGGATGCCCACGTTGTGGTACCTGCGGGGAAAAGGGGGGGAAGCAGGGAGATGTGCATGGTGGGGGGTGGATGGTAGCATGCCCATGGTCCATCCCACCAGGGAATAACCCAGATGAGCCACCCTGGCGTGGAACCGCGGCTGCAGGGCGAGGCTGGCACCACGCTGCGTGTCACGAGCGCTGGGGTTGCTGCAGGAGCACAGGGCAGGGAGAACCCACCCCAACCCATCAAGAACCATTGAATCATGAAGGTTGGAAAAGACCTCAAGGATCATCAAGTCCAACCATCAACCCAACACCACCCAACCCGCTAACCCATGTCCCGAAGCACCACATCGACACGTTTCTTAGGCATCCTGCTGCATCCCGTGAGATGCAGGTGAGCACGGGAAGGCTGCAGGTGTTGTGCTGTGCCGAAGGCTGGCCCGGATGCACTGGAGAGGGGCAACGTCACGGAGAACTCACCTGAACGCGTAGGAGAAGGCGATGAGGGTCAGCGTGACGACGTGGTGGAGGAGCATGACCACGGAGTCCTTGCGCCACGTGTCCATATAGGCGGTGGCGTAGATGGAGTGGCCGTAGAAGCTGCACTGCAACAGGTAGGCGATGGCGATGTCCGTGGGCACGTCCATGCCCTTCTTCCAGCCTGGGGAGGGACAAAGAGACGCGGGTGAGCCCCGAGCCACCAGCACAGAGCCTCCATCGGCACCAGCTCCCTTCCAGGAGCTCATCGCAGGTGCAAAGGATGGAGAGGAACCCACTTATCCTGGCTCCCAAACTCTGCCTTTAGCTGCAGACCCACTCCCTCTCCTAGATCGAAGCGAGAAGCCTTAATTAACTTCTCTCCTGCTTTAATTGCTCCATCCCATTCCCCTCCGGAGCCGACACATCCCAGCCCCGCCGGCTGCAGTAGCCACTAGGTGACTCTCTCCATAATGAAACGACCGCAGCCAGCCCGCCGTGCACCCACAGCATCCCAGAAAAGGCAATTTAGGGGCTCAGGCTTCTTTTTCGCCCACCCCAACCCAGACATCCCACGAGCCTGGACATCCTAACCCATCCCCGCTTCTCCCTGTTTCTTGCCGTACCGTAGAAGACGGACGGCGGGTCGTGGAAGAAGGGGTAGTCGGTGAAGAAGAGCAGGTAGATGCCGTAGGACCAGGATATCGTGTAGAAAAGCAGCTTCCAGGCGCTCTCAGGCATCTTGGCGGCATCTTTCGGCTGCAGGTTGCACCATTCCCCGAAGGGCTGCAAGGAGAGGGGAGAAGGATCGTCACACGGGGGGAAAAAACGGGGCCATGGGGAGCCCGGGGCAGGGGGCAACGCATCGCCGGGAGGCTCGAGCCCTGGACACTGTGAGCACCAGAACCAGGGTCAGGAACCCCATTCTTCTGGCTTTTTTTACAGCATGAATGAGGAGGTCAAAGAGGCTGAAGCTGTGAAAAAACCACGAGATCCTCAGCCTTGGCCATGCTGGAAAGCTGCAAAAGCAGAGGGAGGGCAGGAGCCTGGGATGCGCATCCCCCAGCCTGGGCCCCGCTCCACCACCCGCACCCCGGCGCTGACCACGGCCGGCTCCTGCAGAACAGGGTCGATATCTCATAAAATCCAAACCGAGTCCCGTCCGCAAACCCAGGAGAGGAACCTGTAACCATCCCGTCCTGTGCGCACGGACCCTGCGGCGCTGCCAGCTCCCAGAAAAGAGCCTCTCAGTGGAGGGAGCAGAAGCTTTGCAGAGTGCTGGACACACAGCTCCCCAGGCAGCACAACCCCCCCTGTGTGCACCCAGCTGGGGGGCCAGATGTGCAGGTGACAAGTCAGGAGATGCTGGGGCACCGGGTTCTCCTGCTGTCCCACACCCACCCGCACTCACCCACC